TACTAAAAATTCACAAATCAGACTACAAAAATCATGACATCATTTGAAAAAAGTCAAGAGATTAAAAAATTACAATGACTGTTGTCCTTTCCTTAGTCAACTTCTGGCTTCTGAGACTTCAGAGCACTCTCAGGTCACATTTTGAGTTATTATGTAGTTGATATGTTGGGGAGGGTGGATTTAGTTGTGTTTTTTTTCCAACTGGGAAACCTTGATACTCCTCTCTTTCTTTCTGAGACAGACAGACATATATTCTCACAAGAATGGGAACTGGGAGCATTAAGTAAAACAAAGCTGCCTGAAATCACGGAATCACACACATTGCCACATGACAACAGAGTGACATGAACTCGGGACCTGAAGAGTGCACCGCAGAAAGGATATTCTGTAAAGCTGCACCAGGCTGAGGTTGGCAACACAATGCCTGCTGACAGCATTTCAAGCAAGCTGAAAAGGAGGTTGGTAAAAAAAACTGAGCGCAAACTTGGCTGAAGTCCACTTAGACTTTTCTGACCATACCGAGCCAAGCTATAGACAGGGTGCTTTGATTTCAAGGCTGAAGAAAGCCTTGAGTGTTTTGGTCTCTTCATTAGTTAAGAAGTCTCACTGCAAATGTACAGAATCCCTTGCAGGATTTTTAAAAGAGTCATTCTTGATTAAAATTGTAAAACAAGAAATAGGTTTCTGTCAAAATATTTAGATCAGTATCTTGAACAGTGTTTGGGGGCAGAGGAAAGTTATTTTGGGTTAAATTATGCAACAGTGATCATTTTGTTCCCTGTTCAAAATACTGCCGTGACTCGGGCCTCCCCTGGAAAAAGGAACTTGCAAAGGTATCGTTACCACCATGATCGTTTCCAACACAGAGGCTGCAGAGAAAGTAACTGCTAGAGAAATTGTGGCGGTGGTCAAGAGGGAGAAAGAAAGCTCAAAGGAGACAAGGCTGATCACATTCTGACTGCAGACAAGGAATTAGAGGACAATTAGCTATCCCCAGGCCCAGCTTAACTGAACACCAAATAAGAGGCTGCAGAAAGTAACTGCTAGAGAAATTGTGGCGGTGGTCAAGAGGGAGAAAGAAAGCTCAAAGGAGACAAGGCTGATCACATTCTGACTGCAGACAAGGAATTAGAGGACAATTAGCTATCCCCAGGCCCAGCTTAACTGAACACCAAATATTGAGTACATCCAACAGTTCCAGCTGGGCTAAATATTTAAAAGTTAGTCCTTAAACTGTTTTCAGAATATCATCAAAAGGATACTTTTGCATGGAAAATTGTATTGCCAACTCAAGACACAAAATACCAATAAGAAGTATTTTTTCCACCTTTGTTAAAAAAAAACCCTAAAAATCAAGAAAACAAACACCTGTTCTGAACTGAAAGTACTCCAAATGTCTCCAGAACTTCAAAATGAACAGGCATAGCAAGAATCCATTCAAATAAAACTAGCTAGTGGGAGGTTTAATCCTTACTAAACGATTGTTTCCCTAAAAGAGCAGGATTCAGAAGCCCTGAAATACGGCAGTAAGGAAAGAGCAGCTCTGCTTCTTGCCACTTCTGTTCTTTCAAGGAGGACAGCAAGGGCAGTAAAGCTACTAGAGGTTATTGCTTATACAACAGTAAGTTGCAAATGACAAAGTCTTACTTTGCTTACTAACTTGGTAAATATGAGCCTAGGAGCTTCTATAGTTCTGAATGCCACTCATAGAAACGAATCAAGCTGCACACATGGAGCCAGGGTTTAAAAACAAGTCACTGACCCTGAAGAAGATAATTTTACCGTATTTAAAACTCAACAGTCATTGGGGAGAGGGAGTTAGTGCCCTAATTTCAGATAGTGATTCAAAATTGAACAATTTGAACTGCATTCTCGCACCCATCATTTACCAGGTAAGAGCCAGAAGGAAGAGACTGCGGGTTTGCTGACCAACAGCGTGCAGCTTTGGCTGGGCCATCAGAAGCAGCCTAGGTGGGGAATGTGGAGCTCACTGGGAGCTAATGCAGCTGGGTAAATTGTGTGCTAGTTTCACAATCAATTTACCTTTGCATAAGCTGGTGGTTTGTCAAAACCAACATTGTCAAAAGTGGTGGTTTTACCTTCTCACAGCTGCTTGTTCCCACCCTGTGCCACCCCGTCCCTTGGACCAGCACAACCCTCTGGTGTGGCTGTTCAGTGCAATGGGTCAAGGACAGATGTGGATTTTTATTCTTTTTTTTCATTTGATTCTCACACATGAAAACCATTCCTATAAAACAAAATGTCTTTCGCTTGATAATGTATCACCTGAAGCAAAACTTTGTGTTCATTCCTGAAGACAAAACTTAGCCAAGACACAAAGCCATGTGCTGCCTACTGTACAAATGGGGGGCAAGAGGACATTCTGAACAAAGCACATGTAAAACAGGTAAAGAGCAGTTTTGCCATGAGTTATTTTGAGTCATCCTCTCCAAGAGCTGGTGGAGAGCTGGTGTGGCAAAGAGTGCCATCTAGAGGACTGCAACACCACAGCTTGTTCACAGCACCAAGACATACAGTACATTACACTGTAAAGTCATTATTCATAATTGATGGTCAACAATTGCTGGGTTTGCTTTCCATAGTTGTCTTTTAATGGCTCTGGAAAGTCTTTTTTTTTTTTCTTTTTTAGATTGGGTTTTGTGGGGGGGGGTTTTGCAAGAATATACTGTACTGAAAGATGAAAATTGTGTTTGCTTATTTTATAAAAAATGTGTCCAGAAAAATAGTTGCCTTGAGGAAGGGCATCATTTTCTTCTGTAATTATAACCAATTAGTCTCAGAATAATTATTTCTTCCAGAAAGTACACAGTTTGACCACTCTCTTCTAAATGGTCTCTTGAGTTGTAATCCCCTCCCATTGAAGCTAATAGATGTTTTGTCACTGCTTTCAAAGTGAGCAGGACTTCATCCACAGAAATTACGTACATATGCCCATAAGCATACACATGTAAATGCATACATCTGAGCAAAGTTTACTGTATTTCCTGCCAGCACAATCTTCTTTCCTTCCTTTCCTGATCAGTATAATAAAACTGTTCATCAGGCAAGCAGACCAAGCTAAGACCTTTCAAAGGAAGGTCTTGGTTTTCCTTTCATCAACAGCACAGCTAGGGCCCAATTCTGTAACCCATTGAGAAATTCCAAAAAAATTTGTGTGAAAGTTAAGTTTTGCAATTAACTTCTAGGCTTGTAAAAGCTTAGGAGAAATATAACTAATGTTTACATATCTGGAAACCTCATTCCAGTGAGGTATATTACCAGAGTTCAGCTGGACTTGCCTTTCACCTTTGAAGTCTTGTCCCCAGGAGACTGATGAGCTAAAATGGGAATACAGAGCTATTTCTCGAGCTTGCAACTAGCCACCAGCTGTTCGTCTTCTAAACCTATTCCTTTCTCCCCTACTGCACCTCCAAACTCTCCCTGCCTTTTCTTACAGCATTCCTAACAGCCAGTTCCAACCATTAGATTGAAGAAGCAAACATCAAGAGTTTTTGCAGCAAAAAGTGGTGGAAAATCCCCCTACCTCAGCTACTTTCTGCAATTTGTCATCAAACTAAGACACATTAACATAGGCAAAGCAGCTCACAGAGCCTTTTTCTTGACCCTAAAGGGACAAAACACAAAGGAAGAGCTACATGGCAGCAACAGCTGTTTTTACTTTCTCACCTGTGCAAGTTGTGATTTTCATACTGGAAGAAACCTTTCTTAAAAGAGCTAATAACATCCTTCAAACCCCAACCACCCAGATTTATTTTTTTTTAATTCTCATTTTCACTGTAGCACTAAATAAAACTCTCTAAAATAAACACATCCTACCTATGTGAGACATGCTTTGTTTGTTTAATATATGGATCATTTTCTTTCTCTACAAAGTAAAATTCGTAGTAGCTTACTGAAGACTGGAATAATCTTGTACAAAAGTGACCCAGCAGATTAAGAAATACCAAAAATTCAACTTCTTGAGTTGTGAATACAAATGAAAACATCATGAAATTTACTTTACTCCAATGTTTCAGGGTATCATCTGAACGAAAAAATATTCAGAATAGTTGAAAAACTGCTCTACCATATCAGCACAATCAGCACACAAACAGCCACAGCACAAATTTTTCAAGTCTTTTCACAAACTGGTGTGTAAAATTCATTTCTCATTGCCCTATTGCAAGCACATTTTCTTAGTTCTTGTCTAAATAACGTGTCAACAAAAATACTGGTTGTCTAGCCTGTCCCACAGAAAAAGCATAATACAAAGGAATGTGTTGCTATTTATAAACACATTTTGGCTGATCACAGAGCCATTTTCCTGCCAGAGACCCCATACTATGATGCCCAGCACCGTTCTTACTGGAGATAGGTGCAGCACAGAGATACAACAGACAACATTTGGCCGTGCAAGCATGGCACGCAGCATGTAACCATGCCCTGCTCCCCCAGTGTTAATGGGGAGCAAAGGATAAAGCTGCCTTAGTTCCTCTGGGAAATCTGCTCTTTCCATGGGATTCATTCAGTCCCCACTAACTCCAGAGCTGTTAGATAGGACAAATGCTTTCAAAACATGAATCCAACAAAACCCATGTTTACCTTCTGATTTTGAAGAGCTGCAGAACCACACAACTTCTTTACAACTTCTGAATATAAGTCCAGCTGTAAATAAACCCCAGAATAAAAACACACGTGCTTGCTTCTATGAATCCAAAAGATTAAAAGATGCTGACTGGTCTGTCACAGCTGCAATACATTTTCACAGATGATAATGAAAAATTCAACTCTACTTGGAAACACACATAGTAAACTCTAACTAGCTGAAAAAAGAAAGGGACAGTGCTTTGGGAAGACAAAATTAATTATGCAGTTAGTTAGTTACCTTTTCATCTTCTGTTCCAGGATGTGATTCACTGAATTTTTCTTCCTGAAAGCTTCTAGTCCTCTCCATTTTTTCCATGCTCTGAAAAAAGGTTGTTTTTTCCAGTCTGTTGCTGTTGTATCGTGTATTGATCTCTTCCAGCCTGTTAATCTTAAGTAGCTTCATACTATGCCCAGTTAATTTAATGTCTGTTTTCCTCTCCACCTTGGATTCATAAACCAGTGAACACTCATATCTTCTGATTTCTCCTCCTTCTCGGCTGTACAAAAGAAAGACAAATAAGAAGCATCAGTGTTATTCATGCATTTTACCTTAGTATGCTGCCATTGTTGCAATATTTTATATTTCAACTCTCTCTCCTTATACTTTCTGAACCAATACACAAATACAGAGTTCACAGCACTAGCTGTTCACAGATGCTCTTCTACCTACTCATCTACATTCAACACCAGATAAGTCAAGCAGGCTACAAGACCAATGTAATTTGTTCATAGAAACTACTTAGGTCTATCATATCAATACATGTTGCTGTTGCTTGCAGACCTTGCTTGTGGGTCACTCCCCACTTTTTAACCACTCCAGTGGTTCCCTGCTGCTCAATGTATTCTCCTTCTCTCTGTTGCAGTTCCAGCAAGTTGACATGCGAGGACCCAGTTATTAAGTCCATTAAGATTTTAGATATTAAACAAAGTGGTTTAGGCCTGAACACAGTCCTTCCCTCTCTTCCTGCTATCCTATACCACAGAAATAGGTAACTGCCAAAATGGTGGTGATTTCGGGCCCTCTGTTGAAGGCTGCAGAAGAGCACAGTCCTCAGCTGAGTTCCTTCCCACTGTAGGCCCTCACTATGTGCCTAGCACTTATATGATGTAGGATCATCGAGGCTTGTCTAATGGTTAGAAATGGCTGGAAAGTTATTGCAAGTCAAGCTGTTAGGTTTGATTAATTCTCTGTAGAAGGGCTTTTATTCCACAGTAAGGTGATGGGTTCTCCCCCCCCCCCAAGTAATCACTTGGTTACACTTGGAAAATATGTCCTTTTGCACGACTAATTTTAAAAAAGTAAGAGAAACGACTCTAAAATTTCACTTAGCAACTCTGTGTAGACTCAGGAAATAGAGGACAAAAATGTTTTCCTTGTTATTATTGCAACCCTGTCTTCACTGTACTGGAAACCCAGCTACAAAAGCACAGCGCTCATGCTTTAGCTCTAGAAAGCTGAATCTGGTCAATCTCATTACATAGCTCATGGTTTTCATTTTAACTTGCATAACTACCATAAACTATATGGCATAATTAAGAATGTATATACAACCTTACAGTCATTAGCAGCACAGAGAAACAGCTTTCAGTGTACAACCAGAGACCCAATTAAATCAGTTATTTTTACCTGAACACCTTCCAACAGAAAATGTTCCTGTGTTTTGACCCCACATCTGTGCACATGCAACAGATTAGATGTATACCTACATCAACTAACTGCACTGCCCATAGTTAGCCCTCCAAACTCTTCCCAGATGCGAAAGATGCCACGTGCTATCATGTGTGACACAGGAGGTGGCTTGCTAGTGGTGACATTTATAGATGATGGACAGCAAAGGACAGTGCAAGCTTGCAGCTTGCAAATGAGCCTTCCAGGGAGACTCCTACTACCACGTTATTGCAGCCCTAGAGCGCGCTGTTAATATGTTGTCCTGATTTCGGCTGGGCTAGAGTTAATTTTCTTCCTAGTAGCTGGTACAGTGCTGTGTTTTGGATTTAGGAGGAGAATGATGCTGATAACACACCAATGTTTTAGTTGTTGCTAAGCAGTGCTTATACTAGTCAAGGACTTTTCAGCTTCCCACGCTCTACTGACTGAGAAGACTGGAGGTGCACAAGGAGCTGGGAGGGGGCACAGCCAGGACAGCTGACCCAAACTGGCCAAAGGGACATTCCATACCATGTGACGTCATGCTCAGTACATAAACTGGGGAAAGTGGGTGGTGAGCAATTGCATTGTGCATCATTTGCTTTGTATAGTTGTATTACTATTATTACTATTATTATTATTTTATTTTATTTCAATTATTAAACTGTTTTTATCTCAACCCACGAGTTCTCTCACTTCTACTCTTCCGATTCTCTCCCCCATCCCACCGGGGGGTGGGGGGAGTGAGCGAGCAGCTGTGTGGTGCTCAGTTGCCTGCTGAGGTTAAACCACGACATACGTGAGGTGCAGGGACACCAGCATGGGACTGTAAGACATTCATCATCTGAAGAAGTCATGCACCCGGTATGTAAAAATGCCAGGTCTGCTGCTTCTAGCCTCTATCATCAGCTTTCATGGCACTGACATCCCTTTCCATTCCCTTCAAGTGAAAGGACACCTTACAAGATTTTCTTCCCATTTCTCAAGAGCAGGGTTCTTCAGTTTTCCTGAATGCACTGACAATTGCAGGCGACATACCACAAGGGCTCAGTCTAACCTTCGAGCCATTATTCTACAGATCCTTTGATCTACTCGACACCAAGGGGTGATACAACGTACTCCAAAACCGTCAGAAAAAACACATGATGTTTCTAGATGCCCTCCCGCTGCCTCCATGTCTCCAGCTACTCAAATGCAACAGTGTTTTAGAGCGACCTGGCTGTGAAGACTACTTCTGTCCAGACAAGACTGCAACCAGGGAAAGCTGATTCAGACTCTTCATAGCTCTTCAAAGAGCACATCCTCTAGGTTATGATCACCAAATGTGGCCATCCATCTAATGAGAATGACATGTCCTACTGAAAGGACATGTTGTTCCTTCAAGCTGACCAATGGGCCAGTTATCTGGGAAAATATTAATGGGACGGCAAACCCGAAGGTATTACTGGGCTCTGTTACCAAGCAGAGACTAGGACTGAGTCCAAACGTGATTGCCCTCTCCCCCATTATTACCTTAATATATCCCTGAAACAGTAAGGTAAACAACGGAAAGTTTCTGAGGTGTGCACAGCGAAATTTGTTTGCAAGTGCCTCCTCCACAGTCCTAGAGAAGCAATCCCACCCTGGTCATGTGCCACTGAGCAATGGGAGGCTATGGCCTTCCACCTTATTAAAAGGAAAAAAAAAAAATGTTCAAATGGCTGTTGAGCTCCGTTTCCCCCAAAGGAGGGTGAAAACCTTCCCCCCATCATTTACATTCCCCAACTTTGGCCTGGAAGATGCTTTCCTCTGGTTTGTCTTCAGCAAGCCAATCTCTCACTTTAAGTAAAATAGTTTGCTTCATGAACCACGTCTTCACTTACATGCTCAGAAACCACACACACGTCATAAAAACACAGAAAACTTGCCTAGCTGTATGCACAGGGGGTATATACCTACAATCCTACTGCTTTTCTGCCCAATAGCAGAAAATAAATAAATTTGCACAATAAAAATATAAACAATACAGTAAATGTTTATAAATGTAATACAATTGTACATTATAAACAATACAGTAAATGTTTAGAAATAGAAATGGGCAGGCAAATAGGTATCAGCCAAAAAGAACAACCCACAAACAACCCCTTTTTCTTTCACCATGTTTTTAGATTGTAACCCCTTCAGCCAGAACTAGGTTTACATGATGGGCCATAAAGCACTTTGCTCAAAACTCAGTCCTTTGGCCTCCATCTTCAATTCAAATAAAAACTTTATTTCTGACCCGTTGGCCATCTGCAAACCAGCCATTTTCAAAATTTAAGCCTGGGGACAGGTACCATTAGCCAGCAGCCAGACTTGTTTACCTCCCAGTACATCTTGACATTAGACTGACCTGCATTTTACAAGCTGGGAATGATTATGTAACGGTATATAATTAAACCTAAATATATAATTTAAGAAAGAAAACAAGATGTAATGTGGAAAGAATTACCAGTGGCTCAAGTTCAGGTGGTAAATTAGGATGCAAATGGTACCGTTTACTACACTTTTCTTTCAAATACAACCTGCCCTGCACTCTGCATAATACAAGAGATGTATTTTCTTCATTAAAAAAAAAAAAAAATTATTGGTAGCTCTTCAACTTACTACGAAGTTTTCACATATTTCAACGAACAACCTGGCGGACCCCCAAATATACAGACCTTAACTATATCGATCAGCATGACCCTGAAGTAGCTCCACAGTGCTTCAGGCCATTTGAACGGGGCCAGTGTGGCCTTGCTCTTCTCCCACCCCTTCCCCAGGCTTGGCTGCACAACCCCACTGAGGCACCGTGCTGCCTGGAAACCTGCATGCCACAAAGCTGGCAGTGACAACCCTACACTGTCCTGGAATCACAGCCTGAGAGACCCCAGAGATACTGTGCATCCCAAATAGATTTTTCAACATCTTATCTCAAGGTAGAAAAACAGCAGCACTGGTTACAGACACAACTAAAGGCGGACGGGCCTCTGCGGAATTTGCCCCGCAATGCCCTGGGAGCACAGAGACAGAGGGCGGGTCCCCCTCAGGGCGCCATATTGGTACCTGCCCACAGGGGCCTTTCCGCCCCTGCCGGAAGCCTCCGCAGGGCGGAAGGCGCTGAGGCCTCCGTGGGGACGTTGTCCCCTTCCTCCCCTCGAAGCCAGCGAGGCTCCCTGCAGGGCGGGAAAATGGTGTCCGTCTCCCTCCGCTACTAGGGGCGGGGAGCGAGGCCGGGCAGACTACAGCTCCCGAAGGGCTGCGGGTGCCGAGGGCCGGCGGCCCCGCGCCCCGCCGCAGGCTCGCGTCGCCCCACCCGACGTCTCCGGCGCGAGGTGAGCCGATGGAGGGCGCCGAGGAGGGGCCGCTGGTGCAGTGCCCTGTGTGCCTGCGGGAGCTGCTAGGCGCGCACATCAACTCGCACCTGGACCGGTGCTTGCAGGCCGGGGAGGGTGAGGTGGAGCCGGGCTCGTCTCCCCCCTGCAAGCGGCCGTGCCTCGCCGC